GAAACCCTATGGATCATTTCTACTCATAGGGTCACTACGAGTTGGAATTGACTCAAGGCAACAGGTAATGTTTTCAAGGTTCATCCCTGTCGTGGTGTGAACAGGATTTCATTTCTCTTTATGGCCGAATAGTATTCCATTGTATATATGAACCACATTTTGTTAATCCATTCATCTGTTGATGGACATCTTTGGCTATTGTGGGTAGTGCTGCAATGAACAATGTGTACGAGTCTCTGTTTGAGTCCTTCTTGGACACATTCTTGAGAGACACAGGCTCATGTGATGGGTGACTTGGCCCCACAGATCCCCTCTCTCCCATTGGTCTAGCCAAAAATCTTTTTAGAGCTGCACTGCAGTCAGACTGCCAGCCCAGCCCTCTTCCCTTCCCTGTGTCCTTCACAGGGGTCAGACCTGCATTGTGGCCAGGTTCACAGCATACTGACATTATCTTTGCTATTTTCTCAGCTAAATTTGGCCCAGCATGCACACCTCGGTTGAGTTTCTCCCTGGTAGGGAGGATAGAAGAGGCCCCTGCTGACCTAGGGCTGGCTGTGGAGCCAGTAACACCCCGAGGGTGTGAATTCCACCAGGCCTGGACTCTGGGCGTTCTGCCAGGTCTGGCCTTTAACATCACTGTTCTCATGACCAGTCCTTAGGCCAGAGCCTGTTTTCTCTCCCCAAGTTGACTGCAGTAGTGTCTAAACTGATAGCTCTGTATCCAGTCTCAGTTCCTCAAATGTATCCTCAACATTCCCACCATGATGGCCTTTCAAATCAAAGCTCAGCCTGGTCCCGATCTACTTTTCCACCTGATCCCCCACCTTATTTCTTATACCCATTATACTAAGTACCAGTCATATTGACCCCCAAGTGTGCTCTGCACACACGTTTGTGTCTTTCCAGGCCCCCTGTTTTGAATGCTCATCCCCCGATGCTCTACTGTGGAGACTCCTGTACAACCGTCAAGACCCACCTCCTCTATCACATCTCCTGCAACCCTTGCACCCCCATCGGAGGCAGATACTCCTTGCCATGTTCTTCAGAGCACTCAGCATTCCTTGTTACTAGTCTCCTGCACTAATGTGTGTCCACATAATGAATCATTCCTGCTTCCTCTTAATCTGCCACCTTGACAGCAGCTGACTTCCTGCTTGTATTGACCTCTCATTCCTTACAGATCCTTTGCCATGCAGATTTCTTATCCGTTGAGTGATTGCCACTTCACTTCTAGGGATGCTTTCTCTACCTCCTGGACAACCAGTAGGCCCCTGGATGGCACAATTGGTTTGTGCTCAACTACTAACCTAAAAGGAGCCCCTGTGGTCCAGTGGTTAAAGGCT